CGCCTTCCCTCGCCGTCCTTGTCCGCCCGCTTTCCCGCCGCCCTGTGAAAAAACGGTGCCGCCTTCTCTGGCTGGGTTAAAGGGGGCCTCTTTGGTTGTTTTCAGCTTCGTGCCGCCGAGGGGAGAAGCCTTCTGAAAGACTCCAGCGATTCGGAAGTGGAGAATGAAGCCAAAGATAACTTCTTATCGTCTAAGAAACCAGCCTGGGTGGATGATGACGATGAGGCTGAGGAAAAGTAAGTTAAAATTTGTGGATAGGAAATAAGGACGATGCTTTAAAGAACTAGTACAAATGACTTCAGTTTAAGTAATCTGGGTGCTTCTTATGCTTTTTTCCTAGGATTGATATGACCCACAGGTATAAGAAAGATATGATGAAAAGTGATGCTGAGAAGATACTTAGTAAGAAAAAACTTAGGCAAAGACTTCAAGAACAGTGAGTTTCATTAACCCTTCTGTAGCTACTTCTAGTAACGTAAGATACACGCGTGTGACCTTCAGAGTACCTCTTCTTTTTGCTGAATTCATGTAGATGGTTTAAAGTTATCGTGTCTAGCAATATTTGCTGTGTTTAACTCCAAAGTAGTATTAAGAATAGCAAATAAGGCTTATGAATACACTTTTCTATGGACTAATTTACTTAGCACTTGTTTTAGTAGAGATGTACAAACTTGTGTTCTAGGGAGCTATATCAGAAAAATCTTTGCAAGTAGGGTGATGGGAGACAGTGACTTAGGCTAGGTGATTGGTTTCTACTTAATAAGGTATGTTAGAAAGAATGAGCTGAAATATGGATATAGATAGATAGCAAAGCACTACTGTAGACGTGTTTGGGCTGTCTTGGTACTAGCACTTATAATTCCAAAGAACAGTATTGTCATGTTTAGCACCAGTTACACTTTAGTTTCATGTTCTAGGAGTCCGCAAAATACCTTATAAATGCCAGGAGTGAAGTTGTGAGGGGGAAGGAAAACTTGCGTTGTGATTTTATGCGCATATCACCTCGCACAATTGAGGCTGACTATCATGTAAGTTGCGCATAGAAGGAAACTACTTTCTCAAAAACGTCCTTTCCCACTTGCCCCCTGTTTTTCTTCTCGCTAGATTTCAGCAAGCTATGGGAGGAGTTCCTGCCTGGGCTGACAGAGGAAGTAAAAAGAAACACAGAAAGACTGCAAATGACAGTAAAGAAACTCATTATGATTATGAAATTATGATTTTAATATGCTTTTGTCTGCTCCCCTATTCAACTCTTTAGAAAACAATTTTCAGTGTCTCTCCAGTGTGAATAAGGTGATAATATGTGGGATAAATTGGCTTTATCCCTTCGGTGTGCTTTTATTTCTTGTTGCTTCTGTGGGGAATTTGTAGGTTTGTAGGAAGTGTTTGTGAAATCAATCTTTTCTATGTGTTTTGTTTTAATAGGTGATAGTGATGAAGATGATGATCTGCTATGCAGGACTGGCAATTTCATATCAAACTCAGAGTCCCTGCCAAGAGGTATTTTGCAGGTAAAGGCAAGCCTATCTTACTTTTACCTTATTTTGACCCCTATACACATTTTGACCGCTTTGCTGTTTGGACAATAATGTTTCTGTTGGTGATTGTATGGATTTTTTTCCCCCCGTATAACTTAGAGGCCTAAATATTTCTACTTCAGAGAAATTGGGTAGGAAGGATGGAATTTTCCCACAACTCTGAGGTTGCTGAAACGGTCTTTGATACAGTAAGAGATTAACTTAATCTGACAGCCTTAAGAGTTTTGTATGCTATCTGATCTGTGTTCCAGATTCGTTGAAATTTAACTAATTTTATATAAATTGCATTAATTCAGAGGTTGGTAGAAAGGTTAATTATCTTGTATCTATGCTACTGTAGCAGCACGTTTTCCCTGACTTACTGTGTATTCTGCTTGTCTAAGTTGTCTAAAAGGTCAGCATAGTGTGAGGTCTCTTGCTTTGTAGAACAAAGAGAAATTAAATTGACTGACTACTCACCAGCATAAGCAAATACGTGTTGTTTTTTTTTAACCGCTTGATCTCTATTATAGATGAAGAGCTGCTTGCCTGCTAATCAGGAACGCCTTGCTGGTGGAAAACTTTCAACAGTGCAATTCCATCCTTCTGCTCAAGTTATCCTCACTGCTGGACGCGATCGATCTGTGTCACTCTTTCAGGTGAGAAATTTTAATATATGCAATGGAAATAGCAACTAATATTGAATGTTTTTTAATAAATGTATTTTAAATGTGTTTTAGCTGGGGTGGGGTGGAGTTGCTTGTTTTTACCTTTTTCCTCCTCTCTTCCTGTGATGGCATGTGGATGTTTTAGAGATTGTAATGTCCTTGTGTCTAGAGTGGAATTTTCTTGACTGAAATGTTGTTCCAACAAAATGCCTTCTTCAGTGGCCTCATGCTAACTGCTTATAGGTTATAGGCAAATTGGTTTTGTCCAGATTTTTAGTAAAGAATTTTTTTAATATCTTTGGTTTCAAGATTGTAGTGACTAGGACTGATGTGATTTTTTTTTCCCCAAGTTTGTCTTGTTTTTTTAAAAAAATAATAATTTGAGCAACAGTAGCTTTAAATGAAAGTGGAGAGCTCAAAGCATTTTTGGAATGGAGAGACTGTCCTGCAGCAGGAAGCTACTCATCCTGGGACTCTTCTGTCACGCTCCTCTGAAATGTAAAAGTCTATTTCTCTATTCGGGGACCAGTGAAGTGGTCAAAGGCACAAGTCAAGCTTGACTCCCACAGGTCTGCAAGAGCGAGCAATGTGAAGGAAATGATGTCATATAGGAAAGCACAATATAAATGATAATTAAACAAAACCTGGGCATGGCAGGAAGGCTGAGAGGTGTTTGGAGTATGTCCAAGGAGGGTGGGAGTGCCTGAGGTATAGGGTGAGGAGTGAAAGCCAGGTTGTTTGTAGATTGGGAAGGTAGGGAGATTAATACTTCAAACGAGTGTACCTTTTGCTGCATAAGTCTCTTGTACTGGCTAGTCAAGATTAACTTTTTTGTGTAGAAAGACTTCATATGTTCCTTAATGTATTATCTGTGTTTTTTGAAGGTTGATGGTATAAAGAATCCAAAAATACAAAGCATCTATTTAGAGAGTTTTCCAATCTATAAGGCTTGTTTCAGTGCTGATGGAGAACAAGTTATAGCCACTGGTACCCACCATAAAATGTTCTATGTGTATGACATGATGGGTGGAAGTATTATTCCTGTACATCAAGTAAGAGGTACGTTTAAGTGTTAACATTTTAACTCTCTGGGTATAGTTGAGATTGTCCCAAACAGAGATGGCATATAAATCAACTGTAAAAGAAAGTGCAGTAAACCATTGGTGGTACGGTTATTTGTCTTCAGTGATTTTTACTAGTGTGTTTAGTTTTAGTTTGAATAGTTGTCACACAAGCTTAAGGTTGAGTTGTACCTTTCCTGTGGCAGCCTATGGCAGAAATGAAAAGTTGAAATGGGGTCAGGTCTTTACTCATGTTCATCATAGATCTGAAAGCTGAAAGAGAATATCATGCCAGCTTGAAGTTCTGAATCCCTCTTTTTAAAGGTATGGAGGAGAAGTTTGTCAAAAATTTTGAAGTGTCTCCAGATGGATCATTTATGCTGCTTACTGGAACTTCAGGTTATCTTCACTTGCTGTCAATGAAGGTAGGGTTTTTTCATGACTCACTTTGCCTCAGTTTCTTGGTACCCTTTGCCTCCTGAATCTGCTTGCTTATCTTTGATCTGAAAAGCCATCTGGCTTTTTGACTAAAACAGAAATATGAGACGTGCTGACAGCCTCAGAAAATGAGGTATTGTGTTGTCTGGAACTGTAGCTTCAACAAATGATTTTGGGATGTCTGAGAACGTTTTGCAGACTACGCAGTTCTCTTTGGGACTGGTGATAGAGCTAAGGCCAGGGTTTCATAGGCTTTTTAAGCTTTGCTGGAAAGGTGTCTGTCTGTTTCAGCTGGTGCGCAAACACTGTGCTGTCAGAAAGAATGGCCTCAATGTGGAAGCAAGTGGCTGAGGGTAGGGGGAAATAGGACTGCTTTCCTTGGGAATTGTGGTAGGTTTAATGTGTTCATGAATCATGCTAGCTCCTGGGGTTCGTAAAGCATACAGATTTTTTTCAGCTAGATTTCAAATGTCATTTGGCAGCTGGATTTGTTTCAGATTTTCGTTAGGAAAAGTATTCTTGTCAAAAAATGTTCAGTGCTGTTCCTCAATGGGGACCTCCCAGTGAGGGACCCAATGAGCCTGTATTGAACTAGTTCTAGTTGGAGATCCATGTACACCCCGTTTATTTTACAAGGCCTGT